TCGTAGCGCATTCAATATTGCTAGTTGCCTCTGCTTGGAAGATACTATTGCTGTTAGTGAGATGTCCTTTCCATTCCTTTACTAGTGTGGGCCATGTTCGTAGTGAGCAAACGCGCAGAGCCCACTCCCTGATCATGTTTCGTCGGTCCATCAGTGAACAGTTGTGTAATCGCAGAGGAAGTGCGTTGTCTGGAGTGCGATTGCTGATGTTGGATTTTGACATGGATCCCTCTACCTTTGAATGGCAGGGTGGATGTGTTGCACACTTGCCAGGGAGCTTCATAGTCTGTTGTTCTGAACGTAATTTCCTTGCATATATGTGGCTTCTTGTCTGTGATGGGTGATTCGTACATAGGTAGCCTCTGCCTCTCCCTTTATGTGTAATGGCAGCAGGCCTGCAAGTATCGTGGCGGCGCTGGACGCTGTTGTGCGATAACCTCCGCAGATGTTTAATGCAAACGGCTGTTGAATTGTGGTCAGTAGCTTGGTCTTTCGGCTGCTCATTGGTTGTGCCCATATGACTGCTGCGTAGAGAATTATTCTCTCTGCTCCACTGTTAGAGATACAATAGTTTCCTGATATGGGGGTTTTGTCCCCCAATTTCTCCCTTGAAATTGCCTGGCTTTCCTTGCGATGGTCGATGTTTTTGTACGTATTTCTTGGAGGTGCGGTAACCAGGTGAGTCTTTGATCCCAAGTGACTCCTAGATATTTAATCGTCTTCGTTATTTTTAAGTTCTTGCCCAGTAGCTTTATACATGGACGTCTTGTGGGATTTTGTGCCAGGACGTGGAATTACGATGGCTGCGGACTTTTGTCGAGAGATGATTAACTTAAGTTTTATTGCATAGGTCCGTGAATATCGAGCAGGTTTCTGTGGCATTCCGTTCCAGTTCATCTCTTGTGCGGCCAGACACCAGAAGAGCTACATCGTCGGCGTATGCTATGATGTCTGTGTGCAAAGGCCATTCATGTTGTAGTATTGGAGTTAAAGGTGATTATCCAGAGCAACGGACCGGCGCAAGAGCCTTGTGGACACCCTCTTTCCTGCCGCTTGATAGTGAGGCCATTGTTGTTGGCTACTATGAGGCTACGTGCATGTAGATAGTCCGTGATGATGTTAAAGATGTTTTTGGGACATTGTGCCTCTCTAAGTGCTTGCTTTATAGCAGGCCACCAGAGGGTGTCAAAGGGGCTTTGCCGGACGCGTAATGGCATACCGCACATTGAGTTGAACAGTGTTAAACGAATGTCGCATACTGCAATTACCAGAAAACAATTTGGCGTAATTACTATGTTGGCGCGATTTGAAAAGAAGATAAATACGGTATATGGGATATGTACCACCATCTGATTGTAAACAAATCTGGCGTTTAAATCTTCGTAGAGTATAATGTTAATGTAAATTAATTACTGTGTTAAAATACTATTTTTTGCTGTACTGCTCAAACAACTAGAAAGCTGAAATTATTGCGAAGTAATGTGAAGCAGTGTTTGCATTCAAAATGTAAAATATAATACCTATGAAATTCTGCACATTCCTTCAGAACTGTACAAATTTTCTTTCAGAAAAAGACTGAAATTTAGGATATATTAGTTGAAAATTTATTCATTATACTTTTAAGCAATAAAAACAATTCAGGATTTACCATACGTTCCATTCGTACATACATAAAGAAACACTGAGGATATAAACAATGCTTGCCAATAACACTGAAGAAATTTTACAATTCCTTAATGTTAGTTATTAAATTCTTTGAAATGAGAAAATAAAAGCGCGAATATACGCTAAACAACTAAGCGAGATACTCCAGTTTACAATTACTGAATTATAACATGTAAACAAATTACATTTAAATAACGAATTATTACGAACATATGTTAACAAATATTAAATGCACTGTTATTGACAAATTACAATGAAATATATATTAGAAAAATAAGCAAGTGCAATGGGTATGGACGTTAAAATAACTAATAAGCAAAGTTCCACAACATTACAGTTGTAAACATCATTCGAACACACTCGACAGCCATGGTGATCACGAATAAGCTAGCGTAGGGTTGCTTATTCGCCAATATTTCTCCCCGCGCCAAAGGTACACCATCAAGCATGCGCAGTAAGCGAAATTCGCTTAACACTGTTCAACTCAATGTGCGGTCTGCCATTACGCGTCCGGATCCCACAACTGTCCAGAAAAAGAATATTGCAAACAGGGGCAGATGTTGAAAAACAGGGGTATTGCGGATTCCTACAATAACAATGCTTATTATACAATATAAAGATACTTACATCAAAAAGTGCTGTTACTATGTTGAATTACCACAGTAGTAATACATCGTATTACATCATACATTAATAATGCACTATTATAATAGTCGACGCGGAGACGATAAATTAATGCGTACAATAATAAAATTTCCTGATTTTGCGTGACATCCGTATGGACAGAATAAAGGACTATTTTCCCCCCAGGCGAACTATAAAACTGATTTAAATTGGATTCAGAAGGGAATTTTTTGTGGCGTACGTACGTATGTATATAGGTATCTCGCATAACTCAAAAATGAGTAACCTCAGAATGTTGAAAATTTGTATTTAGGAATGCTATAAAATGTAGTTGTGCACTTCCCTTTTTGGTTACAATCGGCCAGACCAAAAGTATATATATGTAATATAATAATTTATTTCCTAAACAATATTGATCTTCATGTACATTCACTGTTCTTATTATATTTTTTGTATTATTTTTATATTATTTTTGATTTGTTTTTACAAAGTTGCATTATTTATCTTTTGTAATCTTCTATGTTTATTTCAACTTTACTTTGAATTCTGTTTCATAATGACAATTTCCAAGGTTTAATTTTTACAAATAATATAGAACTCAAATGCATAAACATGAGGGTGTCGGGGACGGTTACTCGAGTTTTTTCGGATTTCTCTACAGAAATTGCTTTTTACTCCAAATTGAATTGGCTAAAATGCTTCATAAGAATAAGTTCTTCGAGTATCAGCATTGGTTCATAATCCCTTTTATTCGCGGAAATATTTGGCCTGACTAGAATTGCCGGTTTGGCTTAACCTTATTACTCGAGTAAAGACGAAACACCTTCGTATTTACGTATTTATTTATTGATTATTGTTCATTGAACCGGAGTTGGTTTGTTCCCCTTGAAAAGTCAACTAATTTCCGATCAATGACAATGATTACATGCTTCAAATTTAATTTTTCCTTTTACAATTGAAATTTTGTTCTTCGTGATGATTTAATTCCAGTCCCCGTTAAAACATTATTAAAATTTTACTTTCAAGTTACTTCAAAACATTTTTCTAAATATAACTTACCAGTATGGATTCACTCTTTTAAAATAATTCTACTTTAATTAAACTTAGGAGATAATATAATCAATTAATCAATATTGTTTAGGAAATAAATTATTTAACTAACTTTGCAGCAATTGCGCAAGTAGTAGTAACTTGTTTTCGCACTAAATGAATTTAAGATCATACAATATATGTAATATATATATATATATTTATACTTTTGGAGAGCCTTCGGATCGTAAAGATTATATATATATATACCAAAAGTATATATATATGTAATATATTCAGGAGCAGAAATTTGGATGGCGTGGAAGTGCTGATCCATAATGACTAGAAAACTGGAGGCGAAGGCAGATTAAATCTTCAGTTTTATTTTCAACGACATTTTCGGCTACACACAAGTCGGCACATTAAATGTGACTGTTCGAAAAGGCTTATTTTCAAAAGGCTGAATTAGTTTTGGTTCTCAAAGCATTCTGATTGAACAGTTAATATTGCTTTAAAATTATTATTGGTTGCTTGAGTTATATGTTGCTATTTTTAGAATAGAGAAGGGAAATTAATTTACGCTGCTAATTGAATCTTTTACATATTCTTTATTTTTCTTACATATCATTCTTACATACATACATACATACATATATATATATATATATACCCACTCTGTTACTCGGCTCAGTGAGTTCAGGTTTTTTAATCTTACTACATGCTGGTAAACTGCGCATTTTTTGCTTTAAAAATTATTGAATTACGTTGTTCTTATCTTCCGGTTAAAGTTTAATTAGTCTGCATGCTTTTAGTTAATCTGCATCCAATATTTATAGAATTATAAAGTTAAATGTTGCTTAAGTGCGGCTAAATCTAATTCTTGTCTACTGCAGCAGCCATGTTTGTTTATACTTGAAACTTAGCAGAATAGGGAATTGAGTTTCTGCACCTTCAGCGTCTTTCTGCTGAGCGGGACCAAAACTGAACTTTGATTTTTGCGCACCGGAAAATCTGCTTTGGTTGCCTGCTGGCCGACTTCCTTGTTTTTCTGCAGCAACTTAATTTTAATTGTAATTTTGATTATTTTAACTGTATTTTGTGTTTTATTTTTTTCAAATTTTTGAAATGAAGATATTTTGAGGTTTTATGTATTTTTGCCTTGCCGCGAACTGGGGGCAGAATTGCTAGAGTGAGAAATTCATCTGTAATGAAACTGGAGGAAATGAGTTTAATGAAATGCAGGAAAAAGTGCTTATAATTTAGTATTCCGTACAAGGAAGTCATGTGGTGTACACATCAGATTTTTTACTAATGGAAAACTATGTTATCTGATTCCTTTTTAATAGAACATTTTCTTCAGGCAAGACTATAAACCGTTAGAAGACGCTAAAAGTTTAGGTTGAAGAATTAATGTGTTTTCCCATTTATGTTTTCTGAAATCTCTTTGTAGATTATGAAGAAAACCCTTTGGAAAGATGATGCGCATCTCAGTTATTTTATATACACTGGTCATCAAAATTAAAGGATAATGACAGAAATAAGTCTAACTGATACTTTAAAAAAATTATTCATAGAAATTTGTACTTCCGAAGTTTTGACTCAGTAATTTCTGTCGCTAACGTTTTCAGCAATTTCAGTCACTAGTATAAATTACTAAAAAATTTTTTTGTTTTTAATTTTAGATTTTGTGTATTGGTGCAAATGGGTGCTTAGCTACATTTATATTGAAATCAGCAAATGGATCACCCCAAAAAGATTTGATCTTTACGATCCGAAAGCTCTCCAAAATGCTGAGAAACTCGGTCTCATCGTACCTGCAGAAGAATTCCATTTAGAGTCTCCTTGCCCTGATTCCCATCTGCAAAACGTAAGTGTTCCCCTTCCTTTTAGCAAAAGTCTTTTAAGGTTTTCAGGATTACTATTTCTCCTTATCTGCTTCGCGAACACGAAGTGTCTTGAGTAGAATGGGAGTTTTATTATAAACTCTGTCATATGGATTGTAGAAGAGATACAAGATGAGCCCTTCTCATCATTTTCCGCACTTTACAGGTGGTCCCGCAATTCGGGATACAAAGACGAACCGCATGTGGTCTGAACGTAAAAATATAAGAACCACTAACTAACTAAATTTAAATAAGAACTAACTTCGAATATTTTACGCAGATGAATGACACTAAGATTGGCCTTTCAGATTATTACGTGTGCAGAACGCAAACTGCGGAAAACTGCAATACGTCTTAGATATCAGGAGGACTAAACCTCTGGCATATCAGGAAGACTGTCTAGATATCAGGAGGACTAAACCTCTGGCATATCAGGAGGACTGTCTAGATATCAGGAGGATTAAACCTCTGGCCTTAAAAGGAGACTCCTACACCTTAAACCCCCTCATGATCTTCGAATATGTGACTGTTGCAAGAATTGGGATATTTTATTTATTTTAAAAGTAATTACTTCAAACGTTTTACAGCTGACTACATAATATAGCTGCTTTGGAAACTAGTAACCAGAAAGTTTGTGTTCCCACAAATATTTTTGTAATTTAATCCTCTTTGTGACAAAATACTTCGCCATGTTTCCACCTTGCGCGCATGATATTTTAAAAATGGCTAATGGTACATACTTGAAATTTGATGAACTTCTTTATATGGGCACTATTTTCTAACTGAACCAACAATCTGATGAATATTTTAATATTGAAAAAATTTATGGACGAAAACATTAAAAATTGCGTTAATAAAATCCATTTTATAAACTCAACTCCAAATAAAATAAAAATTTAACATGAAATTTTTAGAATTTTAGGTTCACAGTAGTTGTCAAATGTTATAAAAGCTATATATTAAATATGGAATTAAATTATGAAACAGAATGTTTTAAACCGTGCGCGCAAGTTGGAAACATGACGAAAAATGTTGTCACAAAGCGGATTAAATTATATAAATATTTTTTGCAACACAAACTTTCTGATCACTATTTCAGAAAGCAGCTATATTATGTAGTCAGCTGTAAAACGTTGGTAGTAATTGCTTTTAAAATAAATAAGTTATCCCAAATCTTGCGACAGTCACCTATTCGAACATCTTATGGGATTTAAGGTGTATGAGTCCCCTTAAAGGCGGGCAGCAACTGACTGAAAGCACGCGTGAAGTAAAGTGGCAAGAAAGCTCACTCTCTCTCCACTTAACTCTGTAACGAACTGTAACTCTGTACGAAAAGCCACAATTTAAATACTTAAGCGTTAGCAAAAACAATTTGCATAAACAGATTAACGCGTTTATTCTGGCCGGAAGTGGAAAATAAGAGATGATAGTAAAGTTTTAAAAGAAAATAAACGTTAGTAAAACTTACAAAGAGACTAAAAAAAAAAAATCGTAGATGAAATAAATTGTCTCTAAAATTATCCCGATAATCCGGTTGTAAATAACTGAGCACTGTCTTAAAAATCAAAGCAAGTTAGTTGATTATTACGCAGCAATTAAAACACTGCGTAAAACAAAACTGTCTGAAGAAATTACAGTAAAGCATCTATGCGTGGGCTAACTGAAATGACAGCAGATGATGATTTTATCCACAGTAGGTACATAATTTAATTGTTCTTGATCTTGAGTATATAAGCATTTTTAAATCATCTGTACACACTAATGTACACTAATCGAATCGACGAATGGCGCTGCCTACGCGCATCTACGGCGTATCTAAATGCCACATTTAAATTTCTATAAGTGGGCGGTTCGGTTATGACTGTATGATAAAAATACTCAATCTAGTTTTAAAAGGATTTATTAAAATACTAAACAAATTAATCTAAGAAAATCTAATGTTACGTCTCATGAGCAGCGTTCGAGCTGCGTCATAACAAATTGAAAGTCAAGTTCTGACTGTTGCCGTTCCGAGGCAGAGAAAAGTTTCTAATCAAACCGGAACATCATCCGTGTAAAATTTAACTCTTGGGTATCATCCAGTGTTGAACTTTGTAGGGTTCCTCACACATTTTGTCTAAAGTAAACGTCGAGGAACCTAGTGAACTATTTAGCGACTTATCGCTGAGTTCAAACAACTAAGATGTTGACTCAAGAATGGTTAAACTACCCTTTATTTCACTCAAATAAGAATAGCAGTTGGCCCCTTTTTCGGGCTTACAACAAAGCCTCCAGTCGGGCTTAGAGTAAGCTAAGAATAAGAAATAAGAGCTAGTACTCAGAAATAAATAGAAATAAGAATAAATACAGGAACAAGACGGGATTATTATGGGTATTATTAAGGGTACGGGAATTATTACAGATAATTAAGGATTATTACGGGTATTATTAAGAATAATATGGTAATAAATAAGAATTAATACTGGAATAGAATTAAGAATTCATAGTAAGAAATAAGAATTATAACTTGTAGAGACATCAGGATTTTTGGAAGCAAGAGAGATGAAAAATAGCAACGCCTTCGCCGGGAATCGAACCGAGGACCTCTCAATTACCCACTGAGCGTGTAGTCCACCACACCACGAAGGCATGCCAAGAAGGCGGGAGAAATACCTTATATACTCCCCCTTTTAAAGGGCGACTGAGGTTTTTAGGGGACCCAATCACCAAATCCAGGATGAGAAGAATCATCGTCCAACACCCTTTTTAGTTCGGGCGCCATTGTAGAGACATTAGGTATTTTTTTAGAAGCAAGAGACTAAAAAATTAGCAACGCCTTTGCCGGGAATCGAACCGCGGACTTCTCAATTACGCGCTGTGCGTGCAGACCACTACACCACGAAGGCATGCGAAGAAGGCAAGAGAAACACTTTATAAAACTAGCTAAGAACTTAAATCTAATAATCTAATAGCCAAATTTATGCAGTTCCTTCATTATTTAATTTTTTTTAATATAAGACAGGGCCATAATATTTGAAATTTGAAAAGTGAAACGACATTTAAAGTTTTCGACGTAAAATGCCGAAACGAAATTAATAGCCCTTCTGGGCTAATAAATTAAAGGAACCTCACATCCATTATATAAGTTGTTTTTTATTCAATTTACTGAGGGATACGGTGTATAAGTTTCTTGACTGAGTTTACTGAGGATTTATTGAGGGATTGAGTTACGAAGGGAACTTATTCTCCAGAATCCATATTAAACTGTTTGGAGGTACAGATGTATAATGCATTTGCTTGTCCACACTTGTATTTCCTTTTCCAGAATCCAGATTAAATTGCTTGGAAGTACAAGTTATAAGGTATTTCTCCCGCCTTCTTAGCATGTCTTCGTAGTGTGGTGGTCTGCACGCTGGGCGAGTATTCCAGAGGTCCGTGGTTCGATTCCCGGCGAAGGTGATGCTCATTTTTCATCTTTCCTGCTTCCAAAAAAAAAAAAAAAAAAAAAAAAAAAAAAAAAAAAAAACCTAATTACTCTACAGTGGCGCCCGAACTAAAAAAAGAGTGGTGGATGATGATTCTCCACACCCAGGGTTTGGCGAATGGGTTCCCTAAAAAACCTCAGTCGCCTTTTAAACGGGAGAGTATATAAAGTATTTCTTCCGCCTTCGTAGTGTGCTGGGCGCATATTCCAGAGGTCCATGGTTCGATTCCCAGGGAAGGCGTTGCTCATTTTTTATCTTTCCTGCTTTCAAAGAACCTAATGACTCTGCAAAGTGTATAGTGTATTGTGCTTGGAAGCACAGGTGTACTACTCAATAGTTTGTTTCTGTTAATTATAATATGAGTCACTTTTTAGCCCGGTGCTTTTTTTTTTAACTGGCTTCGTATTAACCGTGATTATCAATTAATAGTGAAGATCGATGCATATTTCTATCATTAATCGAAAACTGAACTGCGTTACTTTTCAACAGAAAGTGACTTCAAAACGCTTTATGGGTTGATGCAACGCCAGAGTTCGCATTCAGATGTGAGTGTAATATCTCAATAGTGTAATTTCATCCTTCTGGAACATTTCGGATAAGTATTTCGAAAATGTTTGCATGCAATTAGGAAGTTGAACTCTGTGTATCGATTCGAAAATTAAACATTCCATAAGAAGCAATGAAAGTCTAAACCAAGGTACACTTCTTTCAGAATGTAAATAAATTTCTTTATGAAACCATATTCTAATATTAAATCTCTTTAGTCTGTAAGGTTTGTAAGAGAGCTTAGATAATTTCGAAGCTAGAGTGATGAAAAATGAGCAATGCCGTCGCCGGGAAAACCACGGACGTCTCGAATACGCGCCGAGCGTGCTGACCACTATACTACGAAGGCAGGAGAAATACCTTAAAGGTTTATCCTAAGTTTGTAACAGTTATTTTTAAGTTTATGCACCCTTCCTGTCTCTCCTATTTCAGCTTACAAATTCCTTACTAGAACGAGTTTTTGGAATCGCGTTTAATGTAAATGAGAAGGAGTAGTATTTAAGTCGAAGTTCTACTGAGAGAGAGAATTCAGGTTTCTAAATAGCGCGCGTTCGCCTTTTGGCCACGTCTCTCTAAGCTGTTACTACGCTCGGCCGTATTACGTGCCCTTGATAGCTTCGCTAGATAACTCGATATTTAGCGGCCAACTAGTTAGAAATTGTGTTAGCCTGGGCTAACTCTTTTTAGTTAGTTATTAGAAATTAGTTTTTATTTCTTATATTTTTGAGTTTAAGCCCCCAAGTGGAGGCTTTGTTGCAAGTCCTGAGAAAGGGGTCGTCTGTACACCTTTAGTTTCAGCAATAAAGGGTAATTAACCCTTCTTACGCGCCGAGCGTGCTGACCGAATACGCGCCGAGCGTGCTGACCACTATACTACGAAACTTGGTTCTTAAGTCTACGAAACTTGGACTTCTCGATACGTGCCGAGCGTGCTGGCCATTAGGCATGCTAAGTAAGATGGAGAAATACCTTAT